GGATGCGATGAAGTGGGTGACACCGCGAATTTAACTATCGCTATTTGAGCAAACGCATGCCAAGATGGTATATATTATCCTACAAACGACACTTCCACGTGCATTCTGTGTCAATGCACCGGTTTGTTTGGCAGGACTATTACAGAACTGCCCAATGACTGCGATTGTTCCTTTATATCTCATTTTGTTTTCACCGGTGCGGAGATGTTGATCGCGTCGGAGTTAGTTGGCGCAGGTGCTAGATGTGTTGAGCTGAATGTTGAATTCTACCGTGGAAAACGGAGACAAATGAGCGACGTGGTGTACTGGCCCTATTGTCAGCGAATCTGCAAAGGATATGTATATCGTTGAGGCTGTGGTGATAATAAAATGCATTTTCGCTGAAATTGTTGGAATTCTACAAAGAGTGGCACGGCTCAGCGCGGTGTGATGATCCTGCTTTCGTAGCGTCGCAGGCAGGAAGGACCAGTCATCAATGCGGATGAGGAATGCGGATACATGTAGTGGGAAACTTGCCATATTATAAGTGCACGTGACTCTATATATGTTTGCATGGTATTATGTTATGTGTTTTCTATGCATCCACTTGGATGCTGTCTGTCCCCTCGCACTTTATGTCGAATGTGAAGTAAAGTCTATGCTTGTGCTCCCACTGCCACTTTTGGTTGTTAAAGTGCTTTCACTCAGCACTGGTGCATATTAAATGTTGCTAGAATTGATTCCTTGCTCATGTCATTGACCGGATTTAACGATATTTTTAATACACCGTGCCTCTTGTTTGCCTTTTTTGTTGGAAGAAAGAACTGGCATGTATGCGCCCATTATTTGCGTTGTTATTCTTGTCCTAGCTGATTGGGAAAGGCTATGCTCAGCAGGTAGTTGATGCACTAGAAACTGATGGATGCATCAAGTGACTTCATTCAGTGAAATCACTTGCGATGGGGAATCTGGTTATTACTTTGCGTCTTTTATGCTTTTGCCAATTTGAAGAAAGCCTTCATCTTCAACTTCTTCGTCTCATAGTTTGCACGCCACTTCGGATCCTGGACAACTTTATTCAATCGCTGGGCAATTTTGTTAGTTGCTTCGCCAAATGTTGCTTTGCTGATAAAGCATGTAAGAATGAGGGGAACCCCGTTGTGTGAATCTGACTCCATTTAGGGCTCTGCATGTAACTCATCAAAGTGTGTACATTGGTTTCCATCAGGAGAAGCCTCATGGGATGATTGTCTCCTAGATGCTCGTAAATGGTAGTGGAAGGTGACACATAGGCAAGGGAATGTGCATAGTGTAATTTACCCG